GCTGATCCCGCAGGACTGTTTTTCAACAGCCTGCGGGTGTACCAACTGAGCTTGGCCCAGTGGCATCGGTCCCACATGATCGTTTTTCAACAGTCTGCGGGTGTACCAACCGAGCTTAACCCAATGCGACCTTTGACTATTGCATTCTGTAACCAAGGTTTTTCAATAACTAGTTTAGAGTTTAAATGAATTATAGTTGCTTTGTATATAATTATTTTTGTATCAGGCTTTAAAATTGAAAAATCACAAAGTATCATAAAATCGATCAGTTTGGACTTGAAGCTGTTGGGGAAGTTATTAATATATTCCTTTATTTTGTCTATGGGGTCTTGCATTTAATTTTTTCTGTTGTTTTAGGATTTGGTGGTGTATATCATGCACTTATTAGCCAAGTGGTAAGGCAACGAGTTTTGGCCCTATCATTCAGAGGTTCGAGTCTTTTTCCCTCAGTCTTTGCATTTTTTATTCAAATAAAATCTATAGGATAATATAATTGAATAGTTTTTTTGATTCTTCGAAAAACTACCCTATTCCCAAGTTGAAGAGCAATGTATTATGCAAGTATAGTAGTAGGCTTTGTGTAGGGCTTGGAGTTCATTTACTCTGTAGTGATTTACATTTGTTAAGATTACATTAGAATTATATTCCGTTGAAGCTCGATCCACAAAATTTTGCAAGACTTCTTGTAAAATACTATAAGTACATGTAGGAGTTAATAAAATTAAATCAAACTCATAAACCTGCTGGAGGAAGACTTGGACGTGGTCATAATGGCTTATATGACACCCTAAATAATTCTCTTCCTTTTCAATTAGGCTTTATATTAGTTTCTTTAGGAGTGATCAAGTCCTTGGCAGCACAACATATCTATTCATTACCAGCGTATGTTTTTATTGCACAAGATTTTACTACTCAAGCTGCTTTGTATACTCATCACTAAGACATTACTGGTTTTACAATGGTAGGTGTTTTTGCTCATGGAGCTATTTTCTTTATACCTAGGCTTCACTTCCGTGCGCACGGGTACCCCCGACATGCACGGATCGTTGCACGGCTGCACGGTCGTGCGGGTCCCCCGTACAGGCCCCGTGCGGCTCCAACACGGTGTGCTTGGGGTAGTTCTAGGGACGGCGGGCTCAATTTCAGCACCGCGTGAATTTTTTAAGGCCCCCCTGCACGTAAATTTTTTTTTTTCGGCGCGCGGGGGGAGACCTTAAATATTTTAATCTTAGACTTCAGATCTTAGTCGTAGATCTTCGAAGATCTACGATGGAGATTTGTCGAGGATGTCCCCAAGACCCGCGCATTTTCGAATTCGAGTTCGAAATTTCGAACTGCGCGGGCCTGAGGACGGGGGTCCCCTGTGTTGCCACTCCGCCTGCTATTTCGTCGTCGTCGCCGTCGTCGATCAGGTCGCACCATCGCCCACCTCCCACGAACGTAGCTGCTCCCGACGTATCTTCCTGGGGCCAAGGCCGCTGTTCTTCACACTCCCCAGGGCCTTCGCTACTCCTTCGCCGCTCCCCAGGGTCGTCGTCGCTGCCCATGGCTGTTGCTGGTCCCATGAAGCGAAGGTAAGTGGGTTTTTTTTTTTTTTTTTTTTTTTTTTTTTTTTTTTTTTTTTTTTTTTTTTTTTTTTTTTTTTTTTTTT